CAATAAAAATCTTATCTAAATAACTCCTACCTACAATAATATATTTTCCAAGATACAAAGTAATAAGTACAAATTTCCTTCCCCCTTTCAAATCAGACTCACAAAAAAATCCTTCAAACTACCACCTTCAACATATCTTTCATCATCGAAATCCTCTCACGTAAATCCTCAAATACTTTCATGAACATAGAAGCACTACCAACAAACACAACTCATTACATGTTCAAAAATATCAATTTTCAATATTATATCATCTATATATGTAAATTTTATGAATGTAATTATTCTTATGAAAAATCTAAATAAATTTATTAAAATATAAATATATATAAATTTTACCAAGACAGGAATTTGAAATGCCAACGAACTGTCTGCTTCACAATTGACATAAGCTTGGACTTCCCGAAAATTTAAATACAAATAGTATGCTATTCCTATCCTACTTTATATGATAACAAAATATATAAAGAACAAAAAATCATAACAAAAAAAATTTGTTCGACGTAGTATCGCGAATCCTTTGAAAAACACAAAAAATGAAATTTATGACACAAAACAAAACACATGATTTTCTATTGGTAGGAAATAGATTAGATAATTATTATAGCGAGGAAAAAATTTTATTATGACTTTTTTTTTTAAATAGAGAACACTACTGCTGTCACACAAGCATACGACTTATTTGAAATTAAAAAAAAAAAAAAGAATTGCATATAATTAAAGTCAGGAAATTTAAATTCCATTTATTAAATGATCAACTGTATGTCTAAATTTTTGATGTACGGAGATTTTTTCCCAATAAACAAGTTTATCTGAAAAAGGTTAAGAAATAAACATGTTATTACGAATTATTAGGAGTATAGATTACGAACGATTAAATCAGAATGTTTAAAAGAATTAAAATTTCATTAAGACTTATTACAATATAAACAGGAAAGAAAATGTAATTATGACCAGACTTGAAATCCATTTTAAAATAACTTCTTTCGTAAAGAAAATGAAATTACTGCTGTAATAATAAAATAACAATTAAAATCTTAAAAGAGGGAAACTACATTACGTTATTACTTTAATCTAAAAGACATCAAACTCTATTTATTTCAGTAATAAAAATATAAGTATTATATAATCAAAATATAAGTATTATATAATAATGTAAATATAATACAATCATCAAAATATATTTATTTTAACATAAAAGAAAATTATAATTTTCTTATAGCAATCTAAGAATTAATTTTAATTTAATTAAAAAAAAATTAAATTCAGGAAAATAATAAATTAAATTGTAAAATCAATTGGAATTTTATATCTGGTAATGAATAGTAATAAATAGATATTGTTAGTTAAAATTGATTCAATATCTTGAACTAACTTCGACTTTTCTTATAGGTATACAAAATTATATATATGCGATAGAGTTGAAAAGAAATAACTCAATATGCAAAAATTATACATATGTGATACATGATATATATCGTATATATCATATGTATATCAATATCATACATGTATATATAGATCGTGTGTGTGTGTGTGTATGTGTGTAATATAATTGGAAAAGAATAATTCTATATGTAAAAATAATCTTTAAAAAAGACATTTTTCACTGAAGATTTCATTTTTGAGAAATATAGGTTTAAAAATTCGCTAAACATACTTGTTGAATTTAGTTAATTGTATACTAGATGAAAATAAACAATCAACATTAAAATATTCTATGTTCAAACATAAATAAAAAATGTTAAATAACATTTTTCATTTAAGATTTCGTTTCTAAACAATAGATTTAATATAGAATATATTATATATTCAAATATTGTTAAAACATTGTTAATATCGTTAAAATTTAGATATATATATATATTTAATAAATTTTTAAATTTAATTTTGTTAAAAACAATGAAAAAGTTTTTCTATGAAAAAAATTTTGTCTTATTTTCATGGAATAACCTGTTTTTAATTATTCCTGTTCAATTCTGAATTAATTACATTCATGTATACTTAAGATTTAATATAATATTCAAAGTCGATTTTCTCAAAAATGAAACATTAAGTGAAAAAATTTTATTTTGTTCTTCGATCTATTTTTGCATGTTGTATCGTGGGAACTGGGATTTATACTCCGTATAAATTAATGTTT